ACAAACTAACATCTCACCTATTTTAGCCTCTCTCCATTGGCTTCCAGTGTCTTTTGGAGTCAATTTTAAAATTATTTTATTTACTTTTAAATATTTGCAAGGCCCAGCACCCTCCTACCTCGCTGACTTGATCGACCCTTGCGCCCCCTCTCGCCCTCTCAGATCTGCAGACCAGCTCCAACTCCAGCTTAGTCCAAAGACTAAACTTGAGCTTCGGGGAGGCCGTGCATTTTCTGTTGAGGTCCCTCGGCTGTGGACCCAGTTGCCTTTAGAGATTAGACGGGCGGAGTCTGTACCTGTTTTTAAATCATTCCTAAAAACGCACCTTTTTTTCACTGGCTTTAACAAATAACATGTACATTTTTTGTTGAGTATCTTATTGTTTTCTGTGTTTTTTAGTAGTTGTATTAAGTTTGTATTGTGTATTTTCTTGTACTGCGACTGTCCTTGTCTATTCAATGTTCATGTACAGCACTTTGGCCGGCTGCAAAGTTTTTAAAGTGCTTTATAAATAAAGTTGGTATGGTAATAATAAAGTGTTTCTCGAACATGTGTGAATGAAACAAAACAAACTCCAGGTCTGTTTTTGAGGAAGCTAACCTGACTAAAAGCTCACAAGTGTCAATTTGGTGTAATATAGAACCTTTAATTACAACAATCAACTTAGAAAAGAGCCACCACGAAGTCAATAGAACCAGATAAGGTTGCTGACATGACAGAAGATGGAGTACACTTAGAAGATATTGAACAAAAACCTTTTTAAATGTGTAACTGGAGCTGTGACCCTGGTTGGTTCTCAAAGACTTGGAATTGGATTAGGATAAATCTATTTTCCCCAGAGAATGAGCTGGTTTTGAGGAGATAAGCTGCTTACAAACTGATAACTGATAACCGTACGGCCCCAGCACCGTGATTTAGTTTAAGAGAAATAGAGGAGTCAAGATCAAATTAGACAAAACCCATGAAATCACAGCCATTGTTATTAGAAAAACTTCCATAGAGGAGACTACAGAGGCCCCCCGTAGTCTCAAATTCTCCCCCATGGTAACGTGGAGGCTCCGTCAAATGATTTTTCTTCATGGAGATGTGATTGTCTTTGTCTGGAATGTTCCACAGTGTGGCATTAAACCTTTCTGTCTTCACGGAGACCAAACCGGACCAAGTTACAGGTCAGATCTGTGGAGAAAGGACCCCGGCTCACAGTCAGAATGTCTGTTTGTCTGTTTTTCTAGGCGTTTTTGAGCTATAAAACCACCTGTAAGTGAATAAATGTAAACTAGAGCTGTTTAATGTCACACTGTGGAACATTCGTATCCGTAGAAACAAGCAGGCAATGGACCACCCCAACCGAAATGTTACATAATGCACCTTTAAGATTAAATATAGTCAGTAAAAGTCATTTATACTCCAGAATCAATGGGAAACACTGAATTAGACACTATAGTAAGATTATTTTTTCACCTTGGGTATTATTTTGAAGGTTATTTTTTCATGTAATAATTTTGTTTCTCCACTGTGGACCCTGAAGGACACAGAAGAGGGACACTTTTGGCTCTTCCACAGGATTTGCTGACCCTTCTTGACCAGTCCTCCTGTTAAACTGCACTGAGACCTTTGAAAAATAAAGGACACTGAAAAGTAGAAATGTTGCTGTAGCAAATCTTGAATTTCCCTCAGGATCAATAAAGTCTCTCTCTCTCTATATATACATAAATTACATTTGTACAGTTTAGAGTACTTTCTAGCAGCATACTTTTACTCCTACTTGAGTACAGGGTTCCCAGTGTTTTCCGTGACTTTTCCATGACTTTTCATGACCTTAAGTGGATTTTCCATGACTTTATGACACCTATATTTGTAGAATTTGCTCATTTTAAGACTAAATATGAAATGTTAATCCTTTCCACTCATCTTATGGTTTGGTTTTTATAGTTTTTTAACATTCAAAATACTGTCAGTGCATTTATTGTCATCTTTTTTGAACAAAAGGCGCATACGTTTGGAAATAATCATAACAGTCTAATGAGAACTTAACAGAACGTTGTAGTTCCGTGAAAGAGATACTAAAATGACATGACTTTGCATTACATGACCAGGCCTGGATTTCCAACTTCCATGACTTTTCCAGGATTTCCATGACAGTGAGAACCCTGTGAGTACTAGTTTTATGTTTTTTGCTCTGCTCCTTCAGGTATGACTTAGTTTGTCTTACTTTTGTGTCCGTCCTTTAGGCTAATGTTTTGTCCTTCAGATTACATTAACTTCAAATTATAAATCAGATCTATCACATCATCCTGACAGTTACTCTTCAAATTTTTCTTACAAGAGTGACCAGACGTCCCTATTTACCTGGGACAGTAGCAGTTTTGAGCGTCTCCTTCTCGAAAATCAGTGAGAAATGTCCTTGATATCCCCATTTTTTGCCAAAATGAACCCCACCAACAGTAAAGAGGAGGATATATTGTCCTTTGTTTCACTAAAATACAGAAAACCATGCTTGAAAACGACCATAAATCCAAACAATGCAACAACAGGAGTCCCTCAGATTATGACTAACCCATGAGTATGTCAAGAATGGACAAGGTTAAGCGCTCTTTTCACAGTTTTACTTAGAGCAAACATCCCAACCCAGTGTGTCCAGTTTGGAAATTTTGAAAATCTGATCACCTCAACTCTTACTTGAGTAGTAGTTTTCTCAAATACATTTTTACTCTTACTTTAGTAGTTTCTTGGACCACTACTTTGTTTATCTCCTTGAGTAATATGATTTTGAAATAACATGACTCTTACTTGAGTAAAATTTTTTGGCTAATCTAACCTTCATCTGCTAATTTCTTTCAAAAAGTCAAATTAGTTTACAGTTCTGGCTGCTAAGAAATGGTGTTGTAGTTCCAGAAGTAAACTACAAAATATTACTATAACTATGATTACCAGATTTTCAAAAATAAAAGCAGGGACTCGCCCGGTTTAGGTGATTATAATAAAATTGTAAAATGAGTGCGTATTTAAGGAGAATTGTTCTGCGTTTGACCAATTTATGACAACATATGAGTCAGCATAGTCACATTTAATTTGTGTTTTGGTCATTTTTAAGCAGCTTTTCTGTATTTTACCAAAACAAATGACAATGTATGCCTCGCTTTACTGTTGGCAGGTATCAGATTGGTCAAAAATAGGGGCATTTCTTTTATAAAACTGGGACAAATGACTGGTTTTATATAAATCTGCTGGGACAGGGGACACAGGGCTCCAAACAAATGGTGTTGTAGTTCCAGAAGTAAGCTACAAAATATTACTATAACTATAATTACCAGATTTTCAAAAGCAAAAGCAGGGACACCCCCAGTTTAGGTGATTATGATAAAATTGTGAAAGGACTGCGTATTTAAGGAGAACTGTTCTGCATTTGGCCCATTCATTACTAAAATGTGAGTCAGTATATTCACATTTTCTTCGTGTTTTGGTCATTTTTAAGCAGCTTTTCTGTATTTTACCAAAACAAATGACAATGAATGCCTCACTTTACTGTTGGCAGGGATCATATTGGCCAAAAATAGGGATACCTGGGACATTTCTTGCATAAAACTAGGCCAAATCACTGGTTTTGTATAAATCTGGGCAAAGGGACACAGGACTCAAAACAAATGGTGTTGTAGTTCCAAAAGTAAGCTACAAAATGCTATTATAACTACTTTTAACTACTTTTAACACATTTTGCATTCATATTATTATTTTTTTATTCATGTACACTTACCATGTCAATTTCTCTTATCCAGATTTATTTTGTCCATTCTCTTCAAGCCACTCCACGTTACTGGAGTGGCTTGTAAAATAAGTGCATATTTAAGGAGAATTGTTCTGCATTCGGCCCATTTATGACAAACATATGAGTCAGTATAGTCACATTTAAATTGTGTTTTGGTCATTTTTAAGCAGCTTTTTCTGTATTTTACCAAAACAAATGACAATGTATGCCTCGCTTTACTGTTGGCGGGGATCAGATTGGCCAAAAATAGGGATACCTGGGGCATTTCTTGCATAAAACTGGGACAAATCACTGATTTTGTATAAATCTGCTGGGACAGGGGACACAGGACTCCAAACAAATGGTGTTGCAGTTCCAAAAGTAAGATACAAACAGTGTTGGGAAGGTTACTTTAAAAATGTTTTCCCCTACAGATTACAGATTACATACACCAAAATGTAGTTTGTAACGGAATCCATTAAGTCACTTAAGGTGAGTAATGTAATCTGAATACTTTGGATTACTTGATTTGCTGTAGAAAAGCAAAGACTTGGATATCGTAATATAAGATGTTTTGTCTGTTAAAAGAAACTAAAAGAGCCCAGACTTTCCTTAACCGTATTAAAATTTTATTGATAGAAGAGGAGGAGACATGGTCCGCGCAGCATGATTTAGTCCTTTTAAATCCTGTTAAATCCTGTTTTAGTCCCGTGTTAGACCTGGTTTAGATCCAGATTAGACCTGGTTTCAGTCCTGATTTTGTCCTGGTTTAGTCCTGGTTTAGACCTGGTTAAGATCTAGTTTAGACCTGGTTAGTTTCCAGCAATGAGTGGAATTACCAAAAAAAAAAAAAAAAAAAGGGATTTAGCCCAAAATGTGAAAACAGGAAAATACCGCCGTGTAATCCATTTATTTCAACAAAGTAACTGTAATCCAATTACCACTCATGGAAACAGTAACTATAACTAAATACAGTTACTCATAATTTGTACTCTGATTACGTAACTCCGGGTACATGTAATCTGTTACTCCCCAACACTGGTTACAAAATGCTACTATAACTACTTTTAACTACTTTTAACACATTTTGCATTCATATTATTATTTTTTAATTCATTTACAACACGTACCCTGTCAATTTCTCTTCCCCAGATTTATTTTGTCCACTTTTCTCTTCAAGCCACTCCACGTTTTTTTCTTCTTACTCTTATTGTGAAAACCCCGGACCGGAAGCATGGGTGGAGCTTCGGGATTATTCACTTCCTTCTTCCGCACGGCGCTAGGATAACAACAAATGCACCATGAAGTTACCAGTTTTATTTTTAATTTTCGCCGTGCATTTTCTCTCGGGGACTGCACACATCGGGGTGAGTGTGGTGACTTTTCAGAAGCGTTATTGTTAAGTATAAAATGAATCGGGTTTATTTTATTGAGCCGAGTAGTTGTGGTTTAGCCTGTGCTAGCTGTCATTCAAATGTGCATGTTTTGATTGGATGTTTTGGACGATTATAAACAAAATCTACGTTCCCAGACTTAATATATTTGCTTTTATTGTCTAGAAAAATGTGGGGAATTTCTTTAGCAGCCAGCACACCAACAACTGGGCTGTTCTGGTGAGTTAAATATCGATTGATTGAATGAAAAAGTGAAAATCGAGGCAAATTTTTGTTGTGTTTTTGTTGTTTTGTTGAGCAGGTTTGCACGTCGAGATTTTGGTTCAACTATCGTCACGTGGCCAATACTTTATCCGTGTATAGAAGTGTCAAGAGGCTCGGTATTCCTGACAGGTAACTAACTACTGTGCTACAGATGAGTGAGAAATGCCTAAAAAATACTTAAATGCACTGGAACATCAGTCATGCTTGATTTTCTAATGTTCTAGGTCTGTTTTTAACTTGAATTGTACAAAATGACAGTTATAGTTACATGTGCACTGAATTAATATAGTATTTTTTTTAGGGGTGTGCAGAAATATAATATCGTATCGTTTAATGTGATGATACAGTATCGATATTGTGGGCTGCTGTATCGATATAGCACCAAGATTATTTATTTTTGGTATATTTTACTAAATTATTTTGTTACAGCTACAGTTTTGTTGATTGTTTAGAGGAAGGAAACTTGTTTATGTGACACATTTGACATTTTCACTGTTTTGATGATTAAAATGTTTGTGTTTCATTTGAACTTTGCACAAGAAGCGGTTTAACAAAGACTTTTAGTATCACAGCCATGATTTAGACATTATTTTTTATTGGACCTTATCGAACTGATTTGAAATATATCGTATTGAATTATATCGAATCGTAAGCTCACTGTATCGAAATATGTATCGTATCGTGGCCTATGTATCGCGATATGTATCGTATCGGCAAATTCTGAATGATACCCAGCCCTAGTATTTTTTGAGTTTTAAGATTATTTAAATGACATGTAGACAGCAAAATCACCAGATTTCTTTCTGATCATAGTCCCTCTGATCACTCACATTTGATTTTGCAGTCTGCATGTCATTTAAAGATCCTAGATTAAGCCAAATTGACTTTTGTGAGCTTTAAGTCATGTTATAATGTAGGGATGTAACGATATCCAAATCTCTCGATACGATATTTTCACAATATGCATCTCACGGTACGATATTTATTGTGATTATTGTGAATATGCTACTTTTCTGTCATAACCCAAGTAATTAAGATTGAAATCTGCTTAATAACAGTTGTTTTATCATATAGATTGGACTAAAACATAGCAAAGGATCATGGTCTACGTAGTTCTGTCTGTTTTTAAGATGTTGCTGCACCATAACAGTGAATTTAAGGAAAGAAACTTGTAAATCGATATATTGTGATGGTCCACGATATTATTGTGAGACTTTTAATGATACAATAATACGATATTTTGGTTATTGTTACATCCCTGTTAGAATGTTATTACCTCATCAAAAACATGCGTGGAGTTGCGTTTTGTTTTATTCACACATGTTTGAGTAACACTTTATTATTAGTCTGTCTACATCTCCAAAGCTCAAAATGCTCTTTTCCACTTTGTGATGTCATGAAATGGTAGTTTTCAAGGTGGAAAATAGTGTTTTCTGGGTGAGAAAAGAACTCAGCCTAAATATGCAGGATTTGTGTGTTAAACATGTGTGAGCATATGAACAAAACACAAGTACAAGTATGATTTTGATGCAGAAACGACATTATAATAGATCAGAAAATAGCATAATATGGGCCCTTTAAGTAATCTTCAAGCTCCAGAAATCATATTATAATCAGATTTTGTAAGCCTGGCCGCTGTTGGTTGGTGAATCAGTGTTTGAGTTACTGTAATTGAGTATTTGGCCAGGCAATATTTAAATTTAATTGTGATTTCATCCATGTGACACTTGTGGTGATATTATCAGATCATGATTTAGTATTTCTCCATTTAATGCACTTCTGTTCTCAAACACGGACTTTTTTCCCCCACCTAATCCTCCCGTTGGTCTCTGAGTGATTGACAGGTGGAATTAACCAATCATGTAACTTGAATCATAAAGTCAAAATTGTGATCTGGCTGAAAGAAAACCTTGACATACATATTTTGGCTCAGTGCCCTTCCCTAATTTGGGTTACTGGATCTGGCAAACTCCAAGTGGACACTGACAAAATAGAAAATTAAATACTTGAAAATAAGGTTAAATATTTTCAAAAACAGACAGTGAGACATGATGGCAGTAGTTTTACTCTTGTTTTATTTACAGCAATACTCAAAAAACGGCTTGACTTCCTATTTTTTGTCAGTCTAATGTAGTTTTAGTTATACCTCAAACATGACAACATCAACAAAGATTCCCAGGATCTTTCAAGGAAGAAAACATCACCATACAACCAATGACCTAATAAAAATGCATTTGTTTAATATAAAGCGTTTTCTGATGCTCAAAGGTGCTTTACAGTCTCATGCATTATTTATTAGACCTTCCTACTTTGGATGGAGAAACCAAAAGTCAATCAAATATTACTTTATTGCCCAAAGGTAAATATGTCTCAAGCAAAGTGACTCTTGAATATACATTACACATGAATGGGTAAAAAGGGCAGATATGGCACACAGCATGCAAAGTACAAATAGTATAATCAGAGGTGGGTAGTATTAAGTTACATTTACTTGAGTACTTTTCTAGTAGCATACTTTTACTACTTGAGTAATTATGTTTATTGAAGTAACAGTACTCTTACTCTTAAAAGCTTTATGTGACAATATGAAACGATTTGAACATTTGTGTTTCTTGCAGCGCTCCTTCAGATGTGATTTAGTTTGTCTCATTTTTGTGTCTGTTCTTTGAAAATACCAGATTTTATGCATTATTTATTTGAAATTACATTCACTTCAAATTATAAATCAGACTCTTACTCTTTTAACTACTCTTACTTGAGTAGTAGTTTTTCCAAATACTTTTTTACTTGAGCTATTTCTTGGACCACTACTTCTGCTTGAGTAATAGCTATTATTTTGAATGACTTTACTCTTATTTGAGTACAGTTTTTGGCTACTCTGTCCACCTCCGAGCACAATATTTTGAGATTAAACTGACAAAAAAATCATATAACTAATCATAAAAACATCAGTGTGTATCCTTTTTGGACGGAGAGAGGAAAAAAATCATTGGTTGGCAAAACTTCCCAAAAAGAACCTGACCTGAGGAGAGATGTGCTCCTCGTGGACGGTCCAATATAGAACTGTCTAAACTGTTGCTATGACATCCAGTGCAATAATAACGAGGCTGTACTTGTTGCTGTAGCCACATAGTGCTGATGCTGGCGGACGACATGGCGTGTAACCATAGAAACCCCAAACCGGCCACCGTCTTCAGTCACAAAAACATGGAGCTGAACGTGTACGGGGACGACGTCGAGGTGGACTACAGAGGATACGAGGTGAGATACAGACAAAGGACTGAAAAAAAATAAGTTTATTACTTCTTCCCAAAAAGCTAAAATATGAATAAAACATTTGTTTTTTATGAAAAAGCTGGATTTGTGAATCAATTTGTGAAAAGCTGCAAAGTGGATTTTTTAAAAGAACATAAACAACAAATGCCATCAACAAGGACATTAAATATATATCTGCTTACGGTTAGCAAATGGGCCCAAAACGTGAAAATAAAAAAATTTATAGTTACTGTATTTTTCAGACTATAAGTTGCACTTTTTTCTACTGTGCAGAAAGAGCCTCTGTCATGTCTGTATCATGTCAGTCGATCGCACCATTACTTCTGCACCACTGAAAATTTAACATTTAAAATTTTTAAAGAAAAACAAAATGAAAATACAGCTACAAACGCCTCTCCCTCCTCCTCCTTACGCCAGAAACAGGTTTGTTTACAGCCGGTGCACTGCAATGATGTAAACAACTAATACAGTGTTGGTTAGGCAAGACGGAGAAGTGAGGAGCGAGGGGAGCGGGTGTGCGGACATTTCGTTCGCGGACGAGAAGTGAGGAGCAGGGAGAAGAGCGGAGCAGGGAGAGAGGAGAGGAGAGGGGAGCGGTGCGCGGAGATTCCGTGCCCGGAGAAGTGAGGAGCAGGGGGAAGAGTGGATCGGGCAGCGGGGACAGGAGTAGGAAAGGGGAGCAGAGAAGGTTGCGCGGAGATTCAGTGCGAATGAACTATACAACACGCAGCAGCAAACTCTTTCTTTGCCTTGAAAATTAAGTTCAGACATAAGATATCGCTTTCGTGTCCTGAAAACATTTGTCTAGCTCTTGGAAATAAAGTATCATTAAGCAGAAGTGACTGTAGTAACGTCAGTCTTTAACCCTGCGTTGCTTCAGTCACACCATTTTTTCAAGAATCACCTTAGTTTGCTTCGTACTTTTCCCCTTGTCTTCTTCTTTCTCAAAACAGACTTTCTGCACTGCTCCATTCTTGTGTCTCCTCAAAAAAAGCCGCTAAGAACTGTTGCGTTGGTGGAGTAAACAGCGTCTGTGCGTCTTGCGTCTGTGGACTCTGACAGGCGTACGTAAACCACGTACCGCGCGCGCGCAGGCAAGTCAGTCGGTAGAAATGTAGGGAGATTGATTGACAGCCTGTCAGCTAACAGATAACGAGGCAGTGTCGTTATCTATTCAAATGTTTAGCACGTCCATTTTATTTCTTTTTTTTTGTCATCATAATTACAAGGCTACTGCACCTCTATAATCTATCATTGACAATTTGAAACAAAAAAAACAAAACAAAAAATCCTCCATACAACCTTTAAACAAACTTATAAAGACGACTGAGAAGACTGAACACAAATGTCCCCAAAAAGAAAATCATATTTTACAGATTACAAGCTGCAAGCTGAAAACAGTAATCGAGCAGCAGAAAGAAAGTTTGGAGTGAGCGAGAGTGCACGCTCCCAGTTGTCACAAGTTATAAACTGTCCTGGAAGTCATTGGATGCATCGACAAATTATGGATGTCAGTGACACCAAAACCATCCTGTCGGGATTCAGAAAGGCCGCAATAATTCTAACTGGAACTGGATGGAGAGTTTGGTAAACTTGTTCTGTTCTGTTGTTTATGTTATAGTTTAATCTGAAGAACTGTTCATATGTGACGTTGACAGTCTGTTGTTCTCTGTTCTATTGTTATTACTATAACTTGAATTCAAGATGAAATGTCGGTTCCTGGACTCTGAAAAAATGTGACTTATAGTCGGGTGCGACTTATATATGTTTTTTCTTCTTCATTGCGCATTTTTCGACTGATGCGACTTATACTCCGGAGCATCTTATAGTCTGAAAAATATGGTTTTTTTTTTCATAAGAATCTCCGTTGAGCTATAAAACCACGTGTAACTGAATAAACATAAGGTAAAGCTGTTTAATGTCACACTGTGGAACATTACAGGCAGAGCAATGACATATCCATAGAAACAAGCAGGCGGCAGACCCTCCACCAGAAAAGTTACACAATGCACCTTTAAGAGTCAGTCTTGGTTTTATTTCAGTGCTCATTTCTCTTGTTAAATCTTTTCTGTCAGACTATAATTGCGAGGGGGAAAATGGATTGAGAAATTGTCACACAAGCTATTGATTTTCACAGTTTAATGAAGAGCTAAGTGGAGCTGGTCTGGTGGGATTGTATTGGTCATGTCTGAGTCACTGAATAATCCTGCTCTGGTTTGAAGGTGACGGTGGAAAACTTCCTTCGGGTTTTGACCGGGAGGTTACCACCCAGCACGCCGCGCTCCAAACGCCTCCTGTCTGACGATCGAAGCAACATACTCATTTATTTAACTGGTAAGTACATCAGGAAAAAACACACAGTTCACACCTTTCTCATTATTTGTTACAGATTAGGTCCTCAAACCTGCAGTTTTAATGTTAGAGCTTAAAGTTTGTATGGCTATTGTTTATTTTTACAGGCAAAACCTTTGAACTTTGCTCCAGTTTTTGTTCCATGTGGATGACCTCAGTAATTACAGAGACATTAATCATAAACCAGGTCAACAAATCTGTAATCTGTGACAGTTACACAAAAACCTCCAGCACAGAATTCTGTTTTAAAGGTCCGATATTCCACAAAATTGACTCTTGTGAGCTTTAAGCCATGTTATAATGTTGTTCCCGCCTCAAAAACAGACCTGGAGTTGTGTTTTGTTTCATTCATACAAGCTCCAAATCTTAAAATGCTCTGTTCCACCTTGTGATGTTGTGAAGTGGTATTTTTCAAGTTAACAGCTACATTTTAGCTTTTGTTTAGTAGAAATTGGCAGTCATTTGGCTAGAGCTGAACAATTTATCATTTTGGACTGAAAACTGTGATCTCAGACAACACGATTTTCGGAGTGTCAAAGCCACAGTGCTCCTAAAGCCTAATTCTGAGGGTGAAGTTTAGTTTTGCGTCAATTCTATGCGCACTGCTGCCATCACCTTGCTGCTGTCGTTTTTGATTTGTGGATCTGTGTTGAGGTCTATGCACTGCAAAGTAATTCACCACCATAATGCTAAGAGGCGAGGATTTAAACCTGGCGTTCGTGTAAAGTTTAACATGAACCATCTCAGCGTAATTTTCTTACAGAACAGACTCACCATCAGCAGCACATCCTCTGTCACAGAAAGAACACTCATATTCCACTGAGTCGTGTCCTTTTAGTCCGACAGAAGCTGACCGCATCACAAGGAGCGAGCAGTTTTTTCAGCGCTTACAGTTTATGCAAATTAGCCATGTGGTTTTAAGTTTTGTTTGTGTAAAACTTAAACAAATTGGGCTTTACGGTCCAGCGTTAAATCGGTGCAGGACTCTGGTATAATGTAAGTTTCTGTGATGTTTGCAAATGTTCATGTGCACTCAAACTTGATCTATAAAAAAAAAAAAATCATAGATGAAGTTGAAATCGCAATATCTGCCAGAAAAATTGTAATTAAATTGTTTCTTAAGCTCATTCAGCCCTACCTTAGGCTTAAATTATCTAAATGATTCTAGTGAAGGTGTGTGGAGTTTAAAGACACAGTGGAGCACTTCCTGTATGGCCACATGACATCACAATTTGGAACAGAGTTTTTTCAGTTTGAGAGAAGAACTCAGCCTAAATATGAAGGGTTTTGTGTTTGATTTGGTCACTCGATTCTGTTTGTGGTTTAATTTGGGGAACTTGTGTTTTAGTTTAGTGTGTGTTCCTTTGTTAACCACTCGTTTTGTGTAAGCCTGCGTGACCCCTTTTGTGGTTGCGGTTTAATTTGGGGAACTTGTGTTTTAGTTTTCAACATGAACGAAACAAAACACAACTCCAGGTCTGTTTGTGATGAGGAAACAACATAACACAGATCAGAAAATAGCGTCATACGGGCCCTTAAACCGAGAAAGATTCGAGCGTGTTGTGGCGTCACGTGAACCCACCCTGATAATCTTGAATAATGTTTTGATTTGTCGAATACGTTGAACTCTTTTAGTTAAATGAAATCTTCAGTCTGATCAGATGCATCCAGTCTGAGTTTGTGGTTCGTGCTTTGAGCCTCTGCAGACGCCCACTCGCTTCACTCTGTCTGCCCTTGTGTTATTATCAAATGGAGATCGCACACTGATGCTATTTTGTAATGTTTTGCGTGGAGTTTACAAGTTATCCATATAATCTAGGCTTGTTCCAGATCACTATTTTGCCTCATAGTTTGATCATCTGGAGATATACATTATAGAAATATTGATATATCGTATTGTTTAATGTCATGATACAGTATCGATATCGTGGGTTGCTGTGTTGATATATCACCAAGAGTATTTTTTGGTTTATTTTGTTAAATTATTTTGTTACAGAGCTACAGTTTTGTTGCTCGTTTAGTGGAAGAAAACTAATTTATGTGACACATTTGACATGTTTGGATGATTAAAATGTTTGTGTTTCATATTCACTTTGCACAAGAAGTGGTTTAACAAAGACTTTTAGCATCACAGATATGATTTAGCCTTTATTTTTTATTGAACAGTATCAAATCGATTTGAAACATATCGTATCGAATCGAAAGTGCACTGTATCGAGATATGTATCGTATCGTGGCCTATGTATCGAGGTTTGTATCGTATCGGCAACTACTTAACGATACCCAGCTCTAATTGCAAGATAATTTTTTGTATATTTTACTAAATTATTTTGGTTCAACGCTACTGTTTTGTTGCTTGTTTAGAGGAAGAAAGCGCGTTTACTCCTATAACACATTGACATTTTCACTGTTTTGATGATTAAAATGGTTGTGTTTCAAATTAACTTTAGTTTAACAAAAACTTTTGGTATCACAGCCATGGTTTAGCCTTTATTTTTTATTGGATCGATTTGGAATATATCGTACTGAATCGTATTAAAACGAAAGCTCAGTGTATCAAGGGATGTATCGTATCGGCAACTTCTTAATAATAATACCCAGGCTTATTATTTAAGGTGTAATATTTGTGTGTTGTTTTTTTTTTTTTTTTTTAAAGCATCACTGTAGAACTAGTATTGTTTCGTTGTGTAATACCGATTGAGATGTAGACAGAAACAAAATAATAATTACTAAAGGTACAAATTATAGAACCCAACCAACTGTATAAATGATTGATTGTACATATTGGACAAAAAATATCTGACTGGAAATTTCCTGATCTTCTTTATTCCTCCTGATCATGCTAAATTTCTTTTTATTAAAAATTTGAACTTTGATGAGAATTCTACAATTGAGATTCACCGATCTGATACTGGTGTCAGATATCAGTCAATTAAATTTTATTCATAGAGCCATTTACAAACCACAAGGTGACCAAAGTGCTTCACATTAAAATCAACACAATACATTAAAAAAAACAAAAAAAAAAAACATACAAAACTTCAGACAGTGAAATAAGACAAATTGTGCAAAGTGTCACTGCATTACTGCGTGTTAAAAGCCTGTCTGAATAGAAGGTTTTGAGCTGGACTTACTGTGATGGTGCGGTTTGTTCCAGAGTCTGGGGCCAGAGACAGAGAAAGCCTCGTCACCTCAGTGTTTGAGTCTGGCTCTGGGGAGATCCAAGTAGAAGCTGGTTGTTTGACTCCCTGTTTAAGCTGTGGACAGACAGAAGTTAGGGATGTAACTATATCCAAATCTCACGGTACGATATTATCACGATAAGCATCTCACAGTACGATATTTACTGTGATATTTTGAGGCTGATATCATTGTAGATGGGACACATTTTTGCTTTTAAAACCCCTTGACAAGATTTTGGTGTGATTTATTTCCATGAAAATCCCAAGAATTCAAGTAAAAAACACATATATTCATGTTGTCTGCACTGAAATGAATCATGGGATATGTAGTTCCCGATGTTTATAAGCTGTTGCTACTATAAAACCATGTATTTAAGCAAAGGAACTTGTAATTCGATATATTGTGCCAGCCCACGATATTATTGCGAGACTTTTGACGATACGATATCACGATATTTTGGTTATTGTTACATCCCTAACAGAAGTTCAGTCAAATAGAGAGGGGCAAGGCCGTTCAGAGCTTTATAAAACAAACAATAACATTTAGAGTCAATTCAGCTCAACTCCAGCGTGAGTTAGAGGCGAGTGAGGGGCGGACTGGGAGACATAGCAGCTCCAATACTGAAAAATAAGCTGTATTCAGTATAGAGGCTTTGCACCGTCACGTGACCCATATAACAACGGTACCTACGCCGCCATGACACCGGACACACCATGTCATTGACTTCAGTAACATCGGAGAAACATGGGCAGGTTTTGTTGTGTATTTGGTTGTTCTAGACGCTCTGAAAGAGATAAAACGAATCATTTCTTCACTGTTCCTCTGGAAATGACTCATCAGGAGCTCAAACAAGGGAATCATCGAAAAAAAGACGTGGATTATGGCTAGAGAACATAAACCGCGAAGTGATTTCCTATGGTACCATCAAGACACACTCACATCACTTTCATCAAGGTATTTTCTATTTAAAATGTTTCATAGCTTATTTAATGAGAGAAGCACATTTACTGAACTAAAATGTAAAAAGGAAACATTTGCATTGTGAGCGGCAGTAGAAACTGTATCTTCCAACACACATATAAACATGTCACTCGTCGTAGGACCGATGTTTTCTTTATTGCCTTGTTTATCCACAACTATGTCTTCTAGAATTAAATGCTTTTTCCGAGTGGATCTTTCTAACTTTCGCGAGGATCTTTTCATGGACGATTCTTTCGAGGTTCGGCTCACAGACTCTTCGACTCGTGCGTCATGTTGATCAGAGGAGCCCAGTGTGGGTTCGTTGAATCGTAAACTAGTGCGGGTTTTCCTGGATAAATTAATGAAATTTTTGTTCAGTAAATGTGCTTCTTTCATTTAAATAAGCTATGAAACCATTTAAATAGCAAATACCTTGATGAAACTTCGGATGTCTTGATGGTACCATAGGAAATCTCTTCGTGGTTTATTTTTGCTAGCTGTAATCCGTGTCTTTTTTTCGATAATTCCCTTGTTTGAGCTCCTGATGAGTCATTTCCAGAGGAACAGTGAAGAAATGATTCGTTTTATCTCTTTCAGAGCGTCTAGAACAACCAAATACACAACAAAACCTGCCCATGTTTCTCCGATGCTGCTGAAGTCAATGACAGTGTGTCCGGTGTCATGGCGGCGTAGGTACTGTTGCTATAGGGTCACGTGACGGTGCAAAGCCTCTATTGGCCTCTAAATATCAGTTCAGCTTATATCCTGGTTGGACAGCTGCATTAAGTATAAATTATTCTTAAAGACAATTTTCTGGTTGTAGTTGGTCAAGAACATTGGTAAGTAAGTAATTGTACATGTATCATTTTGATGTCTAACTGTGCACTAAAAAATAGATGTTTTATGTTTTATAACCTTCTAACTTTTCCCCGTCTAAGGTTTGTCGTGGCTTTTATGTGAACTCTGTTTTTTGCAACCGCTAAAATGAGTCGCTCTCTGGCTTTTTTGTTTTGTAATGGAGCTCACAGGAGGAAAAAGGTTGGAGACCCGTGGCTTAGAAAGTCTCATAATGTTTGAACTTTTGTGTACGCAAAGCTTTTCTGTAGTTAATTGAGGATAAATGAAATGGCTACATAACACATTTGCTTCAGTTTTATCTGATTTTATTTTTGTTTTAAGGAAATAAATACTATTTTCATTCTGCTTTTGTATTTCGAGTATCGACAGATATTTAAATGGTATCGAAATCTGTATCGGATCTGAAAAAGCTGGATTTGTCACTTTTTCCCATTTCTTTTGAGCATAAATTCATAAGAACACTGAAGACTGAAATCTGAATTGCTAAACATAATAGAAGATTCATTTCAGAACATGTCTGTAAAGGTCTGAACTGTCAGAAAAGAAAATTTGGTTGTAGGGAGTAAGGAAGTAATGTTACCTAATGTGATCTTTGTTATTAGCTCATTAAATCAATCAAACTTTATTTATAGAGTGCTTTTCATACAAAAAATGCAACAAAATGCATGATCGTACCCATTCAAATTCTGATGTCAATTAAATTACCATTAACCTCACAGCCCTAGATAGATGTTTGTTTGTTATTTGAGTTAATTTGTTAGTAAAATTTGATAAACCACAGCTTTTAAACTCATTTCATTTCACAGTCAGACACATTACCGCTCTCCTCCTCTGCCTTTTCTCCCACATAGTTCATTCTCTGTTTTTTTTCTCACTTTAAAAACCCATAAACAAATGAATAATACATCTTTTCACTTTGGTTTCTGTAACAGGTCACGGCGGAAATGGTTTTCTGAAGTTCCAGGACTCGGAGGAGATAAGCAACGTGGAGCTGGCTGACGCGTTCGAGCAGATGTGGCAGAAAAGAAGGTGTGTGATTTATTTATGAAGTGATGCATAATGCTCCTCTGTGGGCTTTTAACACGCAGTCAAAACAAGCAAACAAAACAATATAGAAGAGGCTCTCAAAATGTGCTGCGTGGACTGATTTTAGTGCTAGTCAGAGATAACAGATGGTAAGCATTCATTTTGAAAGTCCTGTATTACACAAAACAGACTCTTTTAGCAAAAATTGAGCTTTAAGCCATGTTAGAATGCTGTTACCTCCTCAAAAACATATCTGAAGTTGAGTTTTGTTTTCCTAAATATGCAGTGTTTGTGTGTTAAACATGTGTGAATGAAACAAAAGGGCCCAGTCAAGCAGAAGTAAACAGCAAGGCCAAAAATTCAAGTTAATGCATCTGATATAAAAATGTATTCAACAGATACATATGTACTCTAGTTTATGAAACTGTTCACCTTTTTTCTGTACCATTTTTGGTTCTAAAGTTACATACGTTTTAAACAGACCATGTATGAAACATGGAACAAAAATTATCAGTTCAAAGACCTGCAAATCATGTAAATAAACTGATGTATTTCATCATATCTTGTGTTATTCCATCTGTTGATGAAGGTACATGATTTAAAAAAAAAAAAGTATTTAAAATGATAAAAATTTTCTTGGAAGGACTGACATATTTTATAGAAATAGTTTCCTTTCATTTTGAAGTAATATTAAAGTATTCAGAAGAAAAAAGCGACAAATTATGTTAAATCCTGCACCTTCTATTTGTTTGAACAATTTTCCCTCCGTTACCATGACCTTTCTTAATAAAAAATCTCATGACTCAAAAAGTAAGAGGTTTTTCAACCTAATCTTGTACCATATGGTAGAAAACTATATGAAGCAAATATTCAAACCAGTTTGTTAAGGATATGTAAGTGAGAACCAAGAGTTATCACTGTTTGTATTTATTGCCCAAAAAGTGCTGCATATTTCATTTCCTTTGTTACTACATGAGTTTTTAAATTTTTTGTCAACAACTTGAAAGAATATCACAGGTTTAACTTTACCCTGTTGGAGTTTGTAACTCTTTCCTACATTCTGATACTTTACTTATTTCAATAGTTCCTCTAGTTTCTGAATAAGAGACATTTGAATGTAAAAAATCTGCCCCTGTTTCCCTCCGTTATACCACTTGACTGGACCCAAAACACAAATCCAGGTATGTTTGGGATGAGGAAACAACATAACAGAGATCAGAAAATAGAGTAATCTTTTATTATTAGTTTGTCTACAAAGCTCAAAATGCTCTGTGTCTGTGTTGAAACTGTAGTTTTCAAGTTCACATCGACCTTGGACCTTTTGTTCAGCTGAGATTCCATTTTAGTTCTGCTTTAGTCCTAGTTTAGTCTGGGTTCAATCTTGATTTAGTGCTTGTTGAGTCCAGCTTCAGTTCAGGTTATCAAAAGTACTGAAAAATCAGATACTAAACGATACTAAAAGTAGTATCGAAACTAGGTACTCATTTGAACAAGTACTGATACTAACACACTCCAGTTCACAGGACAATGAACCTTTCCTGAACAGTGTGAAGAATCCCTCAGTCGTCCAGGTAGAATCCACGGCGAGGAGAAAATTCAGTTTGTCGACTGGACAAAAGTTAGATTGTTTGAAGACGTTTCACAGCTCGTCCAAGCTGCTTCTTCAGTTCTGGTCAGACGCTGGTGGACAGATATAAGGAAGGGTCTCGGTCTCGGTCTCAGTCCCGCTCTGGTCCCAGTCTGGTCTCAATCTCGGTCTGGTCCCGATCTCAGTTCTGATCTCAGTCCCGGTCTGGTCCCGGTCTGGTCTCGGTCTGGACCCGGTCTGGTCCCAGTCTGGTCTCAATCTGGTCTCAATCTCGGTCTGGTCCTGGTTTCAATTCTGATCTCAGTCTCGGTCTGGTCTCTGTCTGGTCTCTGTCTGGTCTCTGTCTGGTCTCTGTCTGGTCTCTGTCTGGTCTCTGTCTGGTCCGGTCTGGTCCCGGTCTGGTCCCGGTCTGGTCCCGGTCTGGTCTCGGTCTGGTCCTGGTTTCAGTTCTGATCTCAGTCTCAGTCTGGTCCCAGTCTGGTCCCGGTCTGGTCCCGGTCTGGTCCCGGTCTGGTCCCGGTCTGGTCTCGGTCTGGACCCGGTCTGGTCCCAGTATGGTCTCAATCTGGTCTCAATCTCGGTCTGGTCCTGGTTTCAGTTCTGATCTCAGTCCCGGTCTGGTCCCGGTCTGGTCTCTGTCTGGTTCCGGTCTGGTCCCGGTCTGGTCTCAATCTTGGTCTGGTCCTGGTTTCAGTTCTGATCTCAGTCTTGGTCTGGTCCCGGTCTGGTCCCGGTCTCGTCCCGGTCTGGTCCCGGTCTCGTCCCGGTCTCGTCCCGGTCTGGTCTCAGTCTGGTCTCAGTCTCAGTCCCGGTCTGGTCCCGATCTGGTCCTGGACCTGGATCAGTCCTGGTTCAGTCTGTACGCGGTGCAAAAATCCGACATCGCAGTCACTGAAGTCACGTAAACGGGAAACGGCTGTTATCCGTTTTTTCCGTTTTTCATTTAAACACAAAATCGAAAAACTGAAAAAACAAATCATTACCTGATTTTTAATTTTGGTTTTGGAGACAAATAATGAAGAAAACAGTTGTTTTTTTCGTTTTCTTATTTTTGGTTTTATATTTAAAAACAAATAAAGGAATGATACATGGGTTTGTGCCCTTCGCTCTGTGCATAATGTGGCACTTTGTATCAGAACAAATAAAGAGCACATAGACTCGTATACACTGTGGAACCAACCTGGACCACTGAGGCACTACACAGATATAAAACCACATAGAAATATAATAGGAAGTACTAAGATTTGATGTTAAAAATCACATTCTAGTGTCTAAAGAAAGAGTATGTTCCAAGTCTATTTAATTTGAATTAACGCTGAAATAATTAGCCAGTCCAACACCCATTTTTTTTCATTTTCAAATTGGCACTTGGAAAAACAAACAAATAAATAAATAAATCGACTGCACAAAATAATTGGACTCCGCCGCTGCAGAGAGGAGTCAGTTTTGAAAGCTCATAATTCTGAAGCAGTCTTTGGTGCGCTGCCAAAGCTCAGCCCCGGCGCACTTGTAACCGCCTTGAACCACCGCCTAAAACGACACTGTGTCCATGGAGATATTGTGGTGTTGCCTGGAGTGTTCCACAATATGGCATTAAAGGTATCTGTCGCTATGGAGATAAGTAAATGACTCCACCAGGCCAATTTATAGGTCAGATGTTTGGAGAGGCAATCCGGCTTACCACAAGAATGTGTGTTTTCAAGTTTTATATTAAAACCAAAAAAACATTTGGAAGTTTACCTTATGCAAAATGACTCTTGTGAGTTTTAAGAATCTGTGTAGCATTCGTTCATTCGTTTTTCACAATAAAACCAAAAAAAACAACAACTATTTTCTTCATTATTTGTCTCCAAAACCAAAATAAAAAAACTGATAATGATTTGTTTTTTCATTTTTCGATTTTGTGTTTAAATGAATAATGGAAAAACGGATAACGGACGTTTCCCGTTTCTGTGACTTAAACTGCGATGTCGGACTTTTGCGATGCATATGGACTGAACCAGGACTAAACCAGGTCTAAACCAGGTCTAAACCAGGTCTAAACCGGGACTGAACCAGGACTGAACCTAGGACTAAACCAGGGCTGAACCAGAGCTGAACCAGAGCTGAACCAGGTCTAAATCAGAACTGAACCAGGGCTAAACCAGGTCTAAACTAGGACTAAACCAGGACTAAATGAAGACTAAATCAGTCTGGGTCCTGATCTGGTCCAGGTCTCAGTCCTGATCACCCGACAAAAGTGAATTGTTATCAGTTTTTTCATCTTGATTTTGGAGACAAATAACGAAGAAACAGATTTTTTTTTTTTTTTTTTTATGTTATAATGTTTTTAACCTCCTGAAAAATGGTTATGATTATGATTAATCTCTCTGTAATTACTGGATCTTTCAACATGAATCTGAATGAACATAATTATCGCAAAGGCTCATAATTTCCTCCATAAACACCAAAATCTTCTGTCTTATTCTGCTTAAAACTGCTAACCCCGTAGTTTAAAGCTACATTGTGTAACTTTTCGGTTGGGGGTCTGTCACTTTCTGTCATTTCTCTGCCTGGAATGTTCCGCAATGTGACATTAAACAGCTCTACGTTACATTTATTCAATTACAGGTGGTTTTATAACTCAAAAAAACAAAACAAAACAGGCATTCTGACTCTGAACGGGGTCGCCTCTCCACAGATCTGACCTGTAACAGATAGAAAGATTTAATACCACACTGACAAAGCAATAACATCTCCACGGGGCAAAACATTTGACAGACTCTCGACCAGAAAAAGCTCCACAATGCACCTTTAAATCTGCACAAAAATGTTCTGAAATGTGAATCTCTTATTACTTCGCCACTTCACTCTTCAAGTCTTTTTGTAGATTCTTCCGGAGGCGTTTAAAAAGTGAACTTTGAACAGAATCGTTTTATTAAAACACGCAAATTAAGTATTTTTTTTCCCATACTTTCCGGTTACAATTACGTCACCGGTCTAGTCCGACTTGTTTGCTCTGATCTTAACAAAAATCAAGCGGAGGAAGTGACAGAGAGCTACGTGGGCGTCTTACAGTGAGCGTGCGGCTTTCCTCCCGTCGCCATGGAAACTGCTGTCAGATAGATGGGGATGCAGGATTGTCTGGTGCCGAGTCCTATTATAACAAATGAGCGGGTTTTTTTTTTTCTGACAGCTGTGCATCCTCCCATGTGAGGGTTAAGTGAGCGAGAAGATGGGGTCAAAATCTCTGCACCCGTCTCTATTTAATTAGTGCTCTCGTGTGAAGCTGAATTTTCGGTTTTGGACTGTAAATTAGGGCTGAATAATTTGGGGGAAAGAGCTAATTGGGATTTTTCTGGACAAGCATTTTGACTAATTTATGTTTTAAAGCACCCGTATTACACTATTTTGTGATCTGTGTTATAATGTTTGCTTGTCAAAAACAGACCTGGAGTTTTGTTTTGTTTCATTCACACATTTTTAACACACAAACCCTGCATATTTAGGCTGAGTTCTTCTCTAAAACAGAAAATTTCACCTGTTACAAGATGTGCTTCACTGTGTTTTTAAACTCCATACACCTTCTCTAGAATAATTTGGTTATTTTCAGCTCTGGAACTGCCAATCTCTATGAACTAAACGTAAAAGGTCGCTGTTAACTTGAAAACTACCACTACATGACATTATAAGATTGTCTGAGGGGAGGAACAGCCCTCAGGACAAAAGTGTCCCTCCTATGTGCTCTGTGTCCTGCAGCATTGGGGAAATTCAGAACACACTACACGAAAGCGCCTCCTGAGTGGGGCTGGGTGTCATTAAGAGAGTTAGACCCCGTTTACACTGAAACAAATCCACGTATCACCGTATCGGAAACGATCTGCGTCCACACACGTCGTTTCTGTGTCCGCAATCCTTCCTTATCCACACAGCTTTAAGCATATTTGTTTACATTTTACAGAAACTAAACTTGTGTTGCATTTTTATATGAAGCACTCTATAAATAAAGTTTGACTGAGCTTTCGATTTAATACGATATCTTTCAAATGGATTCAGTACAGTTCAATAAAAAATAAAGGCAAAATCATGGCTGTGATACTAAAAGTCTTTGTTAAACCACTTATTGTGCAAAGTTCATATAAAACACATCCTCAAAACAATGAATAAGTCAAATGTGTCGCATAAATGAGTTTCCTTCCACTAATCAAGCAACAAAACTAGCGCTGTAACAAAATAATTTAGTAAAATATGCCAAAAAATACTCTTGGCTGTATATATTGATACTGTATGTTCAAATTAAACGATACGATATATAGATATTTTATATTTTTGCTCACCCCTACTCCTGAGCTTCACTCTCTCCACCTCGCTGTGTTGTTCTGGCCGATGATGAGACAGGACATTCTCTCCGGAACATCTTCTGTCATATTTGGTGTGTAAACTGTCCTTAAAGGTCCTACATTATGCAAAAATTGGCTGTTGCGAGCTTCAGGCCATGTTATAAAGCTGTTACCTCCTCATTGTCCAAAGCTCAAATTGCACTGTTCCACCTTGTAATGTCATTCAGTTGTAGTTTTCAAGTTGACAGCTACCCTTTACCTTCTGTTCAGTAGAGCGTGGCAAGTCCAGAGCTAAAATGATCTAAATGAATATGACCTCACATGACACACAAGGTGGATCTGAGCATTTTCAGTTTAAGGGGACAGTCTGGAATTTTGGACATAGGACCTCATTTCCTAGTGATCCAGAGCGTTGGAGACGTGTGGAGACACTTTTTTAAATATTCCATCCAGTCCTTGTATTTGCAGAGGTCGCTGGTGCTAGGCTAGTGCATGTCAATGGCCATAGTTATCCTGCCACTAAAAACAGTCTTACCCACTCCACAAAACACCCGAAGCAAAACTATTATTACACCAGACTGTCGATGTAAATGTCTGTGTTGATAGAATAATGTTTGAAATAAAACTAACCTTGCATTGCATGAATCGTTGCATGTTGAGGGACTATTTTCTCATATATCAGTCCGCCGCTGCCGAGCTTTCTATCAGGAAATACAACTCCCTGCTCTGCTGATCTGCTGCTCAGACATAAATCCTTCAAATGCAAGGTTGGTTTTACTTCTAAAATTATTCTATCAACATAGACGTTTACATCGACAGTCTGGTGTAATAATAGACTTGCTTCGGGTGTTTTGTGGAGTGGGTAAGACTGTTTTTAGTGGCAGGATAACTATGGCCATTGACATGCACTAGTCTAGCACCAGCGACCTCTGCAAATACAAGGACTGAGTGGTAGGGGTGTAACGATATCGTTGAGGTATGAACCTCAAGGTACAATATTTATTGGGATATCGTGGGAAAGCTCACGATTAGAGATGTCACAATATCCAAATCTCTCAGCATGATATTTTCACGATATACATCTCACAGTATGATATTTATTGCGATATTTTTTGGGGGTGAACAAAACTGTTAACTTTTTCCTCTTAAAATGCCTTGACAAGACTTAATCCAAAGAACTAAGACTTAAAAGTGCTCAGAACTGTTATTTCTTCTTGTAGTCTGCACTGAAATGGAGCAAAGGATCATGGTCTATGTAGTTCCCTCTGTCTTTTTTTTTTTTTTTTTAGCTCTTACTGCACCATAACTCTTAATTTAAGCAAAGAGACTTGTAATTCGATATATTGTGATGGTCCACGATATTATTGTGAGAACTTTGGCGATACGATATCACGGTTATTGTTACATCCCTAAAAAAAAGTCTTCAAGGAAATCAGGTCCTATGTCCAAAATTCCGGACTGTCCCTTTAAGAGAAGAACTCAGCCTAAATATATAGGATTTGTGAGTTAAACGTGTGAATAAAACAACTAAAACACAACTCTAGGTCTGTTTGTGATGAAGAAACAACATTATAACATAGATCTAGAGTAAAACGAGCCCATGGGACAAATTCATTCAGTGGAAGAGAACACATTATTAGAGGTGATGAGTTTCCAGTGTTTGACTGTTGTGATTATGCGTCCTGTTGACAGAGTGTCTGTTTGCTCACTGTAAGCTCCATCGGATTCCTCTGTTTGTGTTTCAGATACAATGAGCTGCTGTTTATCATCGACACGTGTCAGGGCGCCTCCATGTACGAGCGCTTCTACTCCCCGAACCTCATGGCTCTGGCCAGCAGTCAGGTCGGAGAGGACTCGCTATCTGTGAGTGGGACACGGTGCACCGGGAATACAGGGCTCAAAGATCACACCAGCATCAGGCCTGTCATGATAATTACTAATTACTTAGACTTGGACAAACTTTGTTGATCCACAAGGGAAATTATTTGGACACAGTAGCTCACACATCACAATATATTATAATCACTTGACCGAACATGCCGTTATAAATTCTTTAGTTGCATACAGACCTAATTAAGCCTGGGTTTCATTAAGAAGTTGCTGATACGATACATAGGCCATAGAAGTAGTAGCTTTTTTCTGCAATGCTTTTCTTTTTTTCTGGTGACATAATGGCGATTAACTTTTATCACAATTGTACAAAATTTCTCACAAATTACCATATTTTTCGGACTATAAATTGGTCCGGATTATAAGTCGCACCAGCTAAAAAATGCATAATCAGGGCAGCCGCGGGTCTTAAAAGTCTTAAAAAGGTCTTAAATTTGATGTTCCTAAATTAAGGCCTTAAAAAGTCTTAAATTATGTTGTCCAAGTTTTATTTTTTTCACATAGTCTTAAATTTTATTAGCATATTTTTTGGTAAACTCAACCAAGCTGCAGTGCAACGTTAATGGAGGTAAAAAAAAAAAAAACAACAACATGAAATCACTTAATCTGAATGAACGTCTAATTTGGAGTAGACGTTTCTGGCGCCGATGGCAATGAGTAAACAAGTCAGTAGAGTGGAGGAAGACATTGGATGGGATCATGGGGAAGTGTAGGTTTAATCCACAGTGGCTCTTAGATTGTAGATATAGTACCGGTAGTTGGTTGGTCATTATTAGAATTGGATCTGGAGTTTTTCGCCTGCATAATGGGTGCGATGTTGGTCTTAATTTTCCTTTAAGTGGTCTTAAAAAAGTCTTAAATTTGGAGTAGTCAAACCTGGGGATACCCTGATAATGAAGAAGAAAAAAACAAATGTAAGTCTCACCGGACTATAAATCACACTTTTGGGGGGAAATTTATTTTATAAAATCAGAGACCAGGATCCAACATTTCATCTTGAAGTTCTAGTAAAAACAATAGAAGAGAGAACAACAGGCTGTTAACGTCACATATGAACAGTTCTTCAGATTAAACTATAACATAAACAACAGAACAGAACAAGTTTACCAAACTCTCTATCTCTTGAATTCTTCATCCTCGGTGTCACTTCTGAGCAACTCTGTGACCTCCGGAGGTAAACAGAGCGCCTCTTCCTCTTCTGTGTAGCTGTCGTCAGACTCAGCATCAGTTCCAGGTAGAATTATTCCGGCCTTTCTGAATCCTGACAGGATGGTTTCAGTTGTCTTTATGTTTGTTTAAATGTAAAATTTTCAGTGGTACTGGTGCGATCGACTGACATGACACAGACAGGACAGAGGCTCTTCTTCTCTTCTCTTTCTTCTGCAGGAGACATGCGCAGTAGATCCCTGGTGGTACAGCAGTAATAGGATCAGCAGATACTGACACACAAGCCTAGAGCCTTTCGTTGCTGTCAGTGTGAAAATTTTAATATATAAGTCGCACCGGAGTATAAATCGCAGGAAACACCCAAACCATGAAAAAAAGTGCAATTTATAGTTCAAAAAATACGGTAGAAATAAATAAAGATTATTGTCTACCCTTTTTTATCACAAAATGGGTCAGATTATGAAGACCTTAACCTTAAGCCTTAACCGGATGTGACCGTTCTCCTGACAAAGATTGAGTCTCATGATGTGAACAGCCTGGTTGGGTCCTCTTAAAATGTGCCAACAGAAAATTTAAGCAATAGCGTTCAACTTTCACGTGCAGGATTCAATGGAAGTTAAAACGACCTTGTATATAGCGCAGATATTTTTATTACTTATTACTTATTTTCGATTTAAATTTTACTTGTACATATACATTTATATAATTATGCTGTATTTGACACCAGCCTCTTGCTATTTTTATTGCTTCTTATTTAGATTGTGTTATTACCATTCATATTTTTTACTCTGTTATTATAATATATTGTGATCTGTGAGCTACTGTGTCAAAGTATTTTCCCTTGCGGATCAGTAAAGTTTAAGTCTACTTCAGAACATCTACCTTTAGGGGTGTGCAAAAAATATTAAAATATCAGCATTGTATGGTTCAATGTGATGATAGTGTATCGATATCGTGGGCTCACCAAGAGTATTTTTTGATATATTTTACTAAATTATTTTGTTACAGCGCTACACTTTTGTTGCTTGTTTAGCGGAAGGAAACTTGTTTATGTGACGCATTTAACATATTCACTGTTTTGAGGAATAAAATGGGTGTGTTTCATATTCACTTTTAGTATCACAGCCATGATTAAGCCATAATTTTTTAATTGAACCACATCGAATCGATTTGAAATATATCGTATCGAATCAAAAGTGCACTGTATCGAGATATGTATCGTATCGTGGCCTGTGTATCGAGGTATGTATCGTATCAGCAACTTCTTATTGATACCCAGCCCTATCCTCCATAGATTTCATGCCTTAATTTCATGTGTGAATATTGTTATGAGGCTACTCCCAAAAAATACTGATCATTGATTACATTTTGAAGTGAAAGCACAGCACACGGACGCATTATGTCTTATTAGGTTTCAAACTCCTGACAGTATTTTTATTCCAGGCTTGTACTTGGCACTTCTAATTGCTTATTTGAATATTCTAATCCTGTTTAAAGAGAGGGGACCCAGGGGTGCTGCTTCCTTCCTATGAGACTGATGACTCTTATCATGGTTTTAAATGAAGCCATCAATCACAAGTTTGAGTTATGCCAGTATAATACAGTCTGGTCTTTGCTTCTCATAGCAGGAACAAGGTTAAATATACGTTTTTAAAAGATGAAACTATGTATTTATTTGTTTGACGGGGACGTTTTTAGAGGTTTTAGATGTCATAACATGTTTGGGGACCATTCAAACCCTGTTTACAGTTAGCAGTATGAGTCTAAACTTCAGCACACAACAACAATTTTCTTTATTAGTTCCATAAATATGATACAAAACAATATATTACACCTTCACAAACCTCATGTGTGATGATAATATGTAATATGATTGCTCTCTGTGCTAAATCATTCCCCCTTCTGAGCGCTAAGGAAGGGGAGGGGGCTTAGAGGGTTAACTACAAAAGTGAAAATTATTAAACATTAGGGATGTAACAATAATCGAAATATCGTGATATTGTATCGTCAAAAGTCTCACAATAATACCGTGGGCTGTCACAGTATATCAAATTACAAAATCCTTTGCTTAAATGCATGGTTTTACAGTACCAATAGCTAATAGACGTAGGGCTACAATCAGAAAATTATCTTTTAGAATAATTTATAATTAATGTAGCTGTCCAACCAGGATATAAGATGAACCAATATTTAGAAGCTAATACTGGATCCAACCCATTTTTCAGTATTGGAGCTGCCTATGTCTCCCAGTCCGCCCCTCACTCGCCTCCAACTCACGCTGGAGTTGAGCTGAATTGATTCTAAATGTTATTGTTTGTTTTATAAAGCTCTGAACGGCCTTGCCCCTCCCTATTTGACTGAACTTCTGTTAGGGATGTAACAATAACCGAAATATCGTGATATCGTATCGTCAAAAGTCTCACAATAATATCGTGGGCTGGCACAATATATCGAATTACGAGTTCCTTCACTTAAATGCTTGGTTTTACAGTACCAGTGGCTAATAAACATCGGGAACTACATATCCCATGATTCATTTCAGCACAGACAACATGAAGAAATATGTTTTTACTTGAATTCTTGGGAAAATGACAGTAATAATTCACATCAAACTCTTGTCAGGGTATTTTAAAATCCAAAAAAGTGTCCTATCTACAATTATATCAGCCTCTTCAAAATATCGCAATAAATATCGTACCGTGACATGCATATCGTGATAATATAGTACAGAGAGATTTGGATATCGTTACACCCCTATTAAACATGTTAATAAGGCTGTGCAATTAATTGAATTTCGATTTGTGTGTCAGACAAACTCCAAACTCATATAATCGAGCTTAACAACGTTTATTTTGGGATTTTAAAAAAATATAAATAAGTATATTTATTTAATTTTTTAAATATAGAGATTATAGAACAGCTGGATATATAGTTTATTTTGGATAGATTTATGTTTTTCTTTGCCTTATTTCATGTTCAAAGTATATTTTATTCATTTTATGTTTTATACATCGCAAAACTGCTCTAAGGTTCATGGTTGTAGCCTATATTTATTTTCAGTTTGAAAGTTTTGTGAAAAATTATCAATTATAAAGTGTTCTGGGTATATTTTGTGAGAGAGAAATGCTGAATAAATGCATTGTGTAACAAAAAATAATCATTTGAGTAATCGTGATTTCAGTATTGACCAAAAATAATCGTGATAATGATTTTTTCGATAATTGTTAATACATAACATAGCATTTTCAAAACAATAAAAGGTAGCATGGTGGTAAAAGTTATGTGTTGCCAGTTAATACCCCTTATAGAAGCAAAATACGTAGTCTTTTTAAGTAAATAATTGTTTGTCTCTCTCACTTTGCAGCACCAGCCTGATTTAGCCATCGGGGTTCACCTCATGGACCGCTACACCTTTTACCTGCTCGAGTTCCTGGAGGACGTCCACCCGGCCAGCAAAACCAACATGAACGACCTGGTAAGATCTATTAAAACAACCGGATATGCCGTTGCTACCTTAGACTTGTCTCGAGTTGGATTAGTGGCCACTCGCTGGTACTACAACGAAAAAATCCCTGCCCCGAAAGGCTTTTTCCCACAGAGCGCAATGAAGTCACAAACTGCTCATACTTTGCTTTCAGAAATGTTGGATTTTGTGGCGATTTGTACTAGGGATGGGCATGATTAGTCGATTAATCGATAATTGATCATTAAGAATTTCGTCGATTACGTTCATTTTTAATCGACAAACTGAATGTAGGTTGCTGTGCGTAGCGTAGGGTGACCAAGCGTCTGTTTTTCCCCGGACATGTCCATTTTCCACGTCTTGTCCTGGCCGTCCGGGCTTTTTTTTTTTTTTTTAATAAAGTGATGCAAATGTTCAGGTTTTCATTATCTTTCATTGGGCCATTAAACTGAGCGTCTCTCTGTGCATCAGAAGGAGCGAGACACAAACAGTCGGTCAGTCTGCAACATGCCGAAGCACAAATGCGCATTTAACGATGACTTGTACAAGAAATTCCCCGCTTTACGTCCCGGTCGAGACAAGTGTGAGGACATGTGTACAAAGCAGCACATGTTTCGGTGTCCAGTGGCGGTGCCAGGGATCTCAAAGTTCACCAGGACACCGAAAAACATTAAAAAGCTTTGCCAGGTGAGAGTCGCGCAATGTCGATGACGAGACCCAACCTCCCACCCCCCGTACGGTGTCCTGGTTTTCACAAACGCAAATATGGTCACACTAACCTGTATTCACCTGAGTCGTGTCGTTTAGTCCGACAGAAGTTGAACCACATCAGCGCAAAAGAGCTGTTTTTTTCTTCACTTAGTTTATGCAAATTAGCCATGTGGTTTTAAGTTTTGTTTCTGTGAGAGTTGCACAAAGCTGCATTAAACACATTTTAATGTCAAACGGGCTGATGTGGCTCTAGAGTGGTGACAGTTTATTTGTTGTAAAGTTGAGTTTATTTATGCAGATTAATAGTGCAGATAGTAATAATAATAATGATAAATTTTATATAAAAACATTAATGATTAATCGATCGTTAATTCTCCCGACGATCGATTAATGAAATTTCATCGAATGCCCATCCCTAATTTATACCTATTTTTAGGCCATAAACTTTTTCTCCGCTTTCTTCAGTTGTCTTAAAAACAGCTTGATTGGTTCGAGCAGTTACATGGGCGAGAAGACGTTTTAAGTAAGAAATAACTCGATAACTTTTCACATTTTAAGATCCAACTCCTTTAAGTACTTTGCTGTGTGTATTTCCGGGCCCGTTTCCGTTGGTCCCGACCGAATCCACATGAAAGCGCTTCCCTTTCAGCCGCTCTTAAAGGACACTGTGTGATGTGCCCGCCCCGTGACCTTTGACTCTTCAGCCTTTAATAGTTAATGCACAAACATCAAAGCCAGACGCACATCTTTGTACCACCCTGTGTTTTATCTGCAACCTCCTGCACCCATGGGACACCTTACTCTGACCACAACCGTGCACTTCTGTTCAAATGCAAATGGTCTGACTGAGCATAATGAGGGGAAAGGCTGTAAAGTCCATGTGTCGTGTAAATAAATCAATATAAATCAAATAAATAACAGTACTGTACATTGAAGCCCCATTCATGAAAACCATAATGTCGTCTTTTAAGGGAACTTTGTGTGTTCCCATACATGTTTAAGTGTATATCCAGAGTTCATCTCAAACTGAAAACATTGTTCCATGTTATGATGTCATGTGGGAAAACATAAAGTGCTCCTCTGTGTTTTTAAACTCCACGCACCTTCATTAGAATCATCCATAATTTCAGTCCTGGAATTGCCAGTCTCTGCTGAACTAAAGGTAAAAGGTAGCACAACTCCAGGTATGTTTTTAGAAGGTTATATCATCATAATAATCTTAATTTATGAAGCACTTTTAAAAACAAGATTTACAAAGGGCGTTCAGGCATCAAAGAACAATACAAAAAACATAAAAATAGCGTACAGAAGGCACACAAAAACAGACAATGATAGAATAGAATGGAATAGAATAGAATAGAAAGCCTTTATTGGCATTTATTTGGCCGTTGTGTCCTTGGGCAAGACTTTTAACCCACCTTGCCCACAGTGTCTGTGTACATTGGTGTGTGAATGTGTGTGTGAATGGGTGCGTGGTTCCTTGTTGTAAAGCGCTTTGAAGGTGGAAAAGCGCTATAGAAAAATGTGACCATTTACCGTTTATACACTAGTATAATGAAATTCAGAATAGTATAATGATGCAAACGTGTCTATTAACTATAATAAATAAATAAATAAAAAGAAACAGAATAAATAAAATACAGCTAAAACTTGTGTTAAAGGAAGGCCAACCAAAAATAATGAGTCTTAAAAAGTGATTTAAAAGATGATACTGATGGTGTACAAGTTTGCAGTTTGACTCCAGTTTGACGCCAGTTAAGACTCCAAAAATGTTCACGTCTTTGTCTGTGTTGTTTTTAAACCTTACTCGCTGAACCCCAACTCGCTCACGGTCAACCTACGTACGTCACACTCAGGCAGGTCTTTCCAAAGCCGTGGCGTCCGGACTGAAAAGGCTCGATCAAGCTTCATCTGGAGCCTGGACTTCGAACAGTGAACAGGGACCTGCCTGAGGATCTAAGGCTGCAGGAAGGCTTAAAAGTTCTGAAATGTAACTCGGTGCAAGACCTAAACGAGCTTTTTAAAGTGATCAGTAAAATCGATTTTAAAACACATGCTGGAGTTGAGCTGAATTGATTCTAAATGTTATTGTTTGTTTTATAAAGCTCTGAACGCCCTTGCTCCTCCCTATTTGACTGAACTTCTGTTAGGGATGCAACAATAACCAAAATATCGTGATATCGTATCGTCAAAAGTCTCACAATAATATCGTGGGCTGGCACAATATATCGAATTACGAGTTCCTTCACTTAAATGCAGCCATTGAAGGAAAAATAAAACAGGGGTAATGTTAACTTCTTGGGTTCTTTTTAAAGACAATGCAGTAAAGTGTGTTCACCTTGTTGACATGTTTCGGCTGCTGCATCTTCAGAACTGTCCCCGGTGTTGGTGGTGACGTGTCGTATATCAGCTGTTGTTACTTCCTGTGGGCGTGGTCAGACCTGATGGACCTGCAGGTCGCTCAGACTGACCACGCCTCCCGTCGCCTGGTGTTCTCTGGAGGAGGGTGTCCCAGGTGTGTGACAGGAGGAACGCGCCGTCATCACGGTTAACGCTGTCCGTGCCTCGTTTCCTGATTTCACCGTCCTCCTTGATCCAGCGTTTGAACTTGTTGTTTTCCGATCCGATGACCCGAGCCCCGTCCCGATCCAGAATGTGGTTGTTCCTTTTACAGTGTCTGATATGGCGGATTTTAGGTTTTCCTGTTCTGCTTTGTCTTTTTGTGTTCTGGTGAGTCTCCCTGATGTTTCGTTTTCGCATTCCTTTTGGTGTTCCTTTTTTTTGGGTGTGAAATGCCCGGCCCGTTTCCCCTATGTATGATTTATTGCATGATTTGCATTGAATTTCGTATATGGCATTGCACTTTTGTTGTTGTGGGAATTTTGTCCTTGGGGTGTACGAGTTGTTGGCGGAGTTTTGTGTATGGTAAAGTGTTGATGTCTCTTAAAACAGCTTTATAACCCGGCTTAAAGCTCACAAGAGTCAGGTTTGTGTAATATAGGACCTTTTGTGTAATAAATGGCCTTTAAAGACAAAAAATATTTGGGTGAGTAGCATCTGACTGCTGACTCTGACTGCTCTTATCAGCTAATCTTCACTGGCCACATCCTGAAGATAAGAGCCGATAAGAGACACGTCACAGCAGTCAGGTGATGTTTTTGAGGAAGGGGACAGAGGCTCAGACTGTTGATTTGTGTTGCCAGATCCTATAAGACTAAAACCAGTTAAATAAACCCAAAAGTGATCTCTGTCCATACGATTTGTTCAGCCCACAAGCCTGCGTCTCCTTTGCTCCCACACGGCAATTTTCCATAACTTCAAAAACGTGTAGTGTGACAGTGCTCTGAAGGAGGAGTGACTTAGCGGAGAGAGCAAATTAATAAAAAAAAACAAACATAAATTAAATTAAAACTACTACTACTACGATTACTACTACTACTACAATTACTACTACTACTATGACTACTACTACTACTACCACCTCTACCACTACTACTACTACCACTACTTCTATTACTACTACTACTACTACTACTACTACTACTACTACTACTACTACTACTACTACTACTACTACTACTACTACTACTACTACCACCACTACTACCACCACTACTGCTACTACTACCGCTACTACCACTACTACTGTACAACTACTACTGCTACTACCACTACTACCACTAATACTACTACTATTACCACTACTACTAATACTACTACTACTATTACTACTACAACTACCACTACTACTAGTACCACTACCACTACTACTACCACTACTACTACTACTACTACTACTACTAGTACTACTAGTACCACTACCACTACCACTACCACTACTACTACTACTACTACTAGTACTACTAGTACCACTACCACTACTACTACTACTACTACTACTAGTACTACTAGTACCACTACTACTACTACTACTAGTACCACTACTACTACTAGTACTACTACTACTAGTACTAGTACCACTACTACTACCACTACTACTACTACTACTACTACTACTACTACTACTACTACTACTACTACTACTACTACTACTACTACTACTACTACTACTACTACTACTACTACTACTACTACTACTACTACTACTACTACTACCACTACTACTACCACTACTACTACCACTACTACTACCACTACTACCACTACTACTACCACTACTACCACTACTACTACTACTACTACTACTAGTACTTCTAGTACTACTACTAGTACTACTAGTACCACTACCACTACTACTACTACTACTACTTTCAACTTTCTGTTTAATACTAGTTTAACACTTGTAGAGCACCTGTACTGTTATTTTTTAACTCTTTTATGATCCAGTGAAGCGCACTACCTCTTTTCTTCATCTGACATTTCCTCAGACTCTTTTTAAACAACATTCTTGATCTGCCGTCACTAACCAGATGTGAAAAACTGCTCCACAATTTCCCCCATCTGTATCGAAGCAAAACTGAGCTCTTTATCTGACACATTTTGAAACATGATAATTACAATTTTGACGAGTTTTGTATCTGTGAATCTCCGCATTGGTTTTAAAGTCAAATGTGAAATGTTTGGGGATCGTAGTTGTATTATAAAGAATTTTGTACATAAAAATACACATCTGATAAATACTGATCTCATAAATATAAAAAATGTTAAGTTGGATGAATAAATCAGCAGACGAAGTTAGTTGTGATTCGAACAAAACGTGTTTGCACCAATAATATTTTGTTCAGAGTAGTTGAGAAAGTGCAGCCCAAATTATATTACAATATGACAGACAGGGATAAATTAAACTGTAGTATAATGTAAATATAGATTTTGAGTCCAGAAATTTACAAAATTTTCAGCCTGCTCTTTCCAGTTTAGATTATCTACTGTATCTCACTGAATTTGTCTCTCTGCTTCACCTTCTGTTGTAAATCAAGCGCTCCCTAAGAAACCCTTTATTGGGGTTTTAACAGGATTAGCACAGCGGTCTTAGCACTTGAGTCGCTAAAGTAACAGAGCTAATAGATTTAAATGATCAAATGCCTCGTGATTCACACCATTCTTTCATTTCTTTCCAACACCTCCTGCCGAGTCTCTAAATGTGTTCTGTGGAGGTTTGAGCAGAAGATAAAGACGCACACAGTTATGGACTGTTATGTAAAACGGCTTCTCGAGCAAATAGAGTTGTCAAAAGTATCGAAAATCAGACTAATCCAGAGAAAAATTTATATCGAATCTACTAATTTAAGTAGATACAAAAAAATTGCATTGACCGGACAGAAATGAACCTGTCCTGAAAAGCTTTAGAATGGTTCAGTTCTCGGCCCCCTCCTCCTTATAGTCTACATCCTCCTCCTCGGTCATATTATTCGTCACTTTGGCCTCCAGTCCCATTGCTTTGCAGATGATATCCAACTCTACCTCTTCACCAAATCCATAATCCCTTCCACACACTCCTAGCCAGGCGCCACCTAGTGCCTCCGCTCAATTTCATCTCTCTCCGGCGACTAGGTCAGGAATCAGAATACACTAGACGGTTTGCAAGAACCCCGGAAGTTGTAGACCAAGCACCGACCAATCAGCGAGGAGCTGTGAAGTCATGTCTGGGTCCCTTTTGTGGTACAGCACGACAGTAAACAAAGCGGTCGAGGTGAATCTAGACAAAGCCAGACATTCTGTGTTGGCAACGATTCCCGAGATCGAGGATTTAAAGTCGGAACAAAGAGAATGTTTGGTGAATTTTATCAAAAGGGAAAGACGTTATTGCCCTTCTTCCCACGGGATTTGGCGCATTACATACGTCATGTCCAAATAACAGTGATTGGTTAAATTAAAAAAAGTACCCGCCTACTGTCGAGCGAACGAATCCTAATGCTGTGAGGTCAGACGGTTTCCACGAAGAGAAAAAGGCTGCTGAATGCACTACACCTTCACAAACTGCATCTCTGAAATTAAGTCCTGGCTACAGTCAAACTGCCTCCAACTCAACCGCGACAAAACTGAAATAATCATTATCGGCCCCAAAACACTCACCAAAACCCACAATAACCTCACCCTCTCCACTGAAGGCTCCTCAGTTTCCTCCTCCGCCCACCTCGTATTTGGCCTGGAGAACGGCCTCCTCCTGCTTTTTTTTTTTTTTTTTTTGGCTGTAATATTCCACAGTATGGCTTTAAACATCTCTATGGAGAATGTTCCGAAGTATGGTTTTAACTTTCTATTTCCTTAGAATCCTACAGGTGACCAGCCACATCCAGAAAGTCACGTACTGTAGCTTTAAGAATTCTGGTTATGAAGTCAATGTTCATCGGTCAAATTAAATTATCGATTCATTCAAGTCTAAAATAATCAAAACAAAAAATCTAAATAGAAATATACATACTTTAATGTAACCTGAAGTTCATTGTTTATCATAATGTATGTGTCTTTTTTTTTCCTCAGTTCAAAGTTTGTCCCAAGAGCCAGTGCGTGTCCACTCCAGGCCACCGTACCGACCTCTTCCTCCGGGACCCGGGAAGCGTTCTGATCACGGACTTCTTCGGCAGCGTCCGAAAAGTGGAGATCACCACAGACGCCATCGAGCTGACAGAGCCCATCAAACAGAAAGAGCACACGTGAGTAATGATTTTTATGTTCATTTGTATTAAAGATTTAGATTTAAAACTCCATAAACACGACCTGTATCGCAAAGTAAGAGATAAACATCAAATCAAATATAGATTTACGATAAAAGTGTAATGCAGAGGCTGCGCAATCGCCAGGCTGTCATTGTAAATGAGAAGGCGTTCTCAACTGACTTACCTGGTAAAATATTGAATAAATAAAAAAAAATAAATTAAATTAATTGAATTTTGATCACGATTTTGATTTGGTGTCAAATGATCTCCAAACTCATATAATTAAGTTGAAACGATTTAAAGCTTAACAAAGTTTATTTAGGGATATTTTTATATAAATAAGTATATTTATTTTATTTTTTAAGTATAGAGATTGTAAAATAGCTAGATATATAGTTTATTTTGGATACATTTATGTTTTTCTATGCCTTATTTCATGTTCAAAGTATATTTTATTCATTCATTTTATGTTTTATACATCACAAAACTGCTCTAAGGTTCATATTTGTAGCCTATATTTATTTTCAATTGAAAGTTTTGCGTAAATTATCAATAAGAAAATGTTTTTTGTTTTTTTTTGAGAGACAGAAATGCTTAATAAATAAATGCATCACGTAACAAAAAAATAATCATTTGAAAAGTCGTGGTAATTGTTTTTTCCATAATCGAGCAGCCCTGTGCAGATTTATTCTCAACAAAAACATGGGACATTATGGACATTTGTTATAATTAGGTGTTTTGTTTCTCAAGATGATTATCCAGCCAGAAAGCAGAATGAGCCTCACATAAGCCGGTTTCAATGCTGAAACCATCAACTAAACCCCAGTACTCCGTGCTAGTGCAGCCTCTACAGCTTAGTGAGTGAATTCTGGAGGGTCTGAGCTTTCACATGAGTGATGGTCTGTCCATTTACTGAGCATTTATCTGCAGGTTAAAGCTCTGGCAGCACAGGTTCAGCTGTGATTGTAGATTTGTTTTAAACCGTAAGTGCTCAGGCTGCATACAGTTTCTTTAATATTGAGTTAGTTATTTAGTAGGTTAGCAGTTTGGTTAGTTTCTGCCTTTTTCCCTTGAGCAAGACATGTCCTTCTTGACTATCTTTGAAGATGTACAGCCATTTGTCATTTTGTAAAGTCAGTGGTTTAATGAAGCCTATTTTTAAAGTATAATAAATAACTATGCCTATTTTTTTTTAATATAGTTTAGGTCAGTGTTTCCCAAACTTTATTTCTGGGGACCCATATTTTAAAAGTCGCAAACCTTTGTGATTCAAGTCAATAGACATTATTCATAAATCACAAAATAAAGGTGGATTTGACCATTATCGAACATTAATGAGGATATTTTATTGCTGACTGAGTGATCGTGTCTCTCTGAACAATTAGTTTTACTCTAGTTTTAAACAATGAAAAACAGTAATTGAACCAGCAACAAAAGGGATCCATAAGTCGCCTATTTGGACATTAAATGCAGCCCTGTATATTGCAGAATTATTTGTAAACCGTGAACAAGGTGACCCAAAAAAATCTCTTGAATCCAGTCTTTGTGAAACACTGGTTTAGATTAGTAGTTTAGGTTACATGTACATGCAATGCGTTTGTTTTAAAACTTAAACTTGTGCAAAAAAGGTGAGATAAAATAAATATTTGCAGGGTTTCCTTTAGCTTATAATGTTGTTTTTCCATTATATGTATTATATTAACACTAAAAACCTCGCATCAGAATTAAAACACACACAATTTTGGGTTCAATCTCATTAATTAGTACTTTTTAACAAATTATTTTCAATGTTAATCTATCAATTCTGGACTCAAAATCAGAACTTCACTTATAGTAATATTTTTATAGTGTCCTATATCGCCATCTAGTGTCCGTGTAGTTCCAGTGCACAATTTCAATTTCAAAACATCGGCTATGGTGTGGTTATGATGTTTGAACACTAGATGGAGCTGCTGACTAATTTTTAAAGCGCAATTTATCCACTCAGCTTTTTATATTTTTATTATTTATAGTCGTATTTACCCGTCAGATTAACAGTTCCTTTAGCACACATTGTATGATTTAACTTGGCGTTGATAGAGCCAGTGGGCGGTGTGTCTTGTACATACTAATCGAATGCTTTTGGCTGCTAATGACTAATTAAAGGCAATTTCCAGAGAGATGTTTATAGCTGCTTTGCCCGAGGCTGTAGTCATGCGGTGAACAAAACTTCCCCTTTAAAGCTGTCATTGATTTGTGTGTTACGGAGAGGCTGGCCTAATTTAGTCCTGGAAAAATGTGTTTTATTTCACAATGTGATGTAATCAAAGTGCAATCTGCCCCGTATGTGATCCTTCTGTTGGCGTTTACTAAGGCAACAGATATAAACACGCAGGCGCTTAAAAATACCCAAATACAAAAGATACAAGTGTGTATTTATGCAGTGGTGTTCAGCAGTTTTATAATTTGTTTATTAAAGGCTGTATTACGCACTCTTATGAGCTTTAAAGGTGCATTGTGTAACTTTTTGACTGCTTTACTTCTATGAATACCGTATTTTCAGCACTATAGGGCGCACTTAAAAGCCTTTAATTTCATCAAAAAACAACTGCGCGCCCTATATTCCAGAGCGCCTTATATATGAATTTATTGGGGTGTCTTAGTACGACTTTAGTAAACTACAAAGCCGCACCACTTGCAGCATTACGGCTCCCGTAGTCAGGAGCATCGTGGAGTAAAACATACTGTGATTCCTTTTAATATCAAAATGCACCTGTCAAGAGACACGCTTACAACGCCGACTTTAAACTCAAGGCGCTTATAAAGTTAAAGTGCGAGCTGTGAGGGAGCAGTGGATGAGAGAAGGAGAACACACATTCACCAAGACAGGGAGACAGCGCCGAACGACTTACGCCACGATCTGCCAATGAATCGTGGACACCCGGGCTAAAGATCAGTATCAACTGTGGTCCGAGCTTTCACCAAGACCAGAATCATCACTGAACTGCCAGGGAACAGTAACCACACTGACTCGGATAATGACAAGAGGGATGCGGGCGAGCTGGACGCCGTAATCGCTCAACTGTTTGAACAATTATGAGTTATTGTGAATACGATAACAATTTAGCGTCTCAGACAGTATTTTTTTACGCGTTAGAATTGAACAAATTTGAGAGTTATTGTGAACGCATGTTAAATAAAGTTTGACTGACTTATCTAACTGTTGTGTTTCGTTTAATGCGCCTTATAGTCCGGTGCGGTTTATACGTGGAAAAAAGTTAGAAAATAGACCATTCAATGACAGTGCGCCTTATAATCCAGAGCGCCGTATAGTGCGGAAAGTACGGTTTGTCATTAATTTACCAGGCAGTCTGACTGTGAGCGGGGTCACCTCTCCACAGATCTGACTGCCTGTTTTTCTAGGTATTTTTGAGCTATAAAACCACCTGTAATTGAATAAATGTAAGGTAGAGCTGTTTAATGTCATACTGTGGAACATTCCAGGCGAAGTAACGACACATCCATAGAAGCAAACCAACCAAAAAGTTACACAATGCAGCTTTATGCCATGTTATGATTCTGTTTCCTCATCAAAAACATACAGTACTCAGAGTTGTGTGTGTGGGTTTTTTTTTATTCTCTCATGTTTAGCACAGACACTCTATTACAAGTGACATTTTTCTGATATTTTAAACATGACTTTGACAAAATAATAGTAGCTTCTTTTATTTTTATTGTCAGGTAATAATTTAGCATTTGAAACCTAAAAAAAATAGCAAAACCAGGAAAGAAATTGTTTTATTTAATTTTTGTAAACTCTTAAATATAACAATCTTAAAGGCGCATTTTGTAACTTTTTGCTTGGAGTCCATCACAAATATGTAATGGAGTAGAAAGTATCCACTGTAAAAGGTACTTAAAGGTGCACTATGTAACTTTCTGGTTGGGGGTCCGTCACCTGCTTGTTTCTATGGATACGTCACTGCTCTTGCCTGGAATGTCCCGCAGTATGACATTAAACAGCTCTACCTTACATTTATTCACTTACAGGTGGATTTATTGCTCAAAAATACCGAGAAAAAAAGGCGTTCTGACTGTGAGCGGGGTCGCCTCTCCACAGATCTGACCTGTAACTTGGCCCAGTTTGGTCTCCATGAAGATAGAAAGGTTTAATGCCACACTGTGAAACATTTTAGACAAAGCAATAACATCTCCATGGAGAGAAATTTGATGGACCTTCCACCAGAAAAGTAACACAATGCACCTTTAACTGACTAAAATTAAAACTGACAAAAAAAACCTGACTCTTACTGTAATAATATGAAGGAATTCTTACAGTTTTTGGTTTGTTAAAAGTCTGTATACCCTCGAACATAAATACGACTAATGAAACTGTGAGAACATTGTATGGAGTGTCACCAGGTCAATGCAATGAGAAGTAAAAAGAGATGTCGTGTAAGGTTTTCTTGTATTTTATTTTAACAAAGAACTAATCCTTGTTAATTAAAAGGAACACAGACTGTACTCTTAAAAACAGCAGGTGGCCAATTAACATTCATTTAATGTTACTAACATTAATTACTGCTCTAGGTTCTTATCTCTTTTTAAAAATACGATCTTTCCTCATTCCTTGATCAGGCTTTTCAATTATAGTTTTTCTCGATAGGGGTGAGACGAGACTGACTTTTCACGACACGAAACACGAGATAGGGTCCATGAGATCGAAAAGTATCTCCACGGTATCTCCACGTTAGCCAGGCTGGCGCCACCTAGTGCCTCAGCTCAATTTCATTTCTCTCCAGCGACTAGGTCAGGAATCAGAATACACTAGACGGTTCGGAAAAACCCAGGAAATGCAAGTTTGGGCACCAGACAATCAGCAAAGAATCATACATTCCGTGTTGGCAATGATTCCCGAGATCGAGGATTTAAAGCTGGAACAAAGAGAATGTTTGGTGCATTTTATCAAGGGGAAAGACGTTATTTCCCTTCTTCCTACGGGATTTGGGAGAAGCTTA